AGGACGTAGGCATGAAAAACGGTGGATAGCGTTATTCACTTGTTTGACGACGCGCGCGGTACATTTAGAGATAGTTTATTCCCTAACGACGGACTCGGCGATATCGGCATTGCGGCGCATGGCGGCTAGGCGTGGGTGGCCACGGGTCATCTACTCGGATAACGGGACAAACTTTCATGGGGCGGACACCGAATTACGACGGGCGATGGAAGAGTGGGCACCCCTGCTGAAGGACTACGCGTTGACTCGGCGGACGGATTGGAAGTTCATCGCGCCGGGTGCGCCGAACCAGGGAGGCGCATGGGAGCGTCTCGTGCGCTCGGTGAAGACCGCGCTCGAAGCCACACTCAATCAGAAGAGCCCACGGGAGGAGACATTAGCGACGCTCCTCACAGAAGCCGAAAACACCGTTAACTCTCGACCGTTGACGCACGTACCGGTCGACATCGACGAAGAAGAGGCATTGACACCCAACCACTTCTTGCTGCTGGGACCATCGAGCCTTCCAGTGACCGCGCCGTGCACGCCTAATGATCGTCGGGCGTGGAGAGCGGCGCAGGGACTTGCCGACGAGTACTGGAAGCGCTGGGTGAAGGAATACCTGCCGACGCTGGTTGCGCGCGGAGACTCAAGGGACGTGCAGCAGCGCCCGGTACAAGAAGGAGACCTCGTCGTGGTGGCAGACGGGACCATGCCGCGGAACGTGTGGCCAAGAGGAGTTGTAACGAGGACCTTTCCCGGACCAGACGGCGTGGTACGGAACGTTGAAGTGAAGACCAGGGGCGGATTGCTGCGGCGGCCGGTCAGGAGGATCGCCGTCCTCCCGAGTGCAGCCTAGGCTCGCAAGGCTACGCCGGGGGGAGAATGTTACGGACAGCGAGAGACCCGCCGCCCCGTCGCCCCTTCGTTCCCCGTTACGTCCCGCGCACCCCGCACGCCGGCGCTGATCACGCGATATCGGGCAACCAATCAGCGCGCGTGCGGGGAATATTGCCATCGGGCGGCCAACCCGACGAAATGAAGCGCTCTTCTCGGAAATATAAGAAGGGCGCCTCGGACGGTCGTTGTTCATTCGGGTTCATTAGGGTTCCTTCGGATCATTCAGAAGCATTCACTCGGAAGCGGCAAGGAAGAATCAAGACAGAAGACTCCATACTGAAGACCTCCCTTTTGTATAGTGATTAGTTAATGTACCGAACCCATTGTAAATAGTGAATATAGTATAATTAAAAGTACCATCTTTTCTTCGAGCAGTCCCCTAGTATAGCTAACCTCACACCGCCAGTTAAAATAACAAATACAGTCCACTACTCTCCATCCATTTTACGTACCATGAGCCGCCTTTTAAAATGATTTTTCTCTATTTGCTCATTAGTTTAGTTAAATTTAAATCGGTCTATTGAAAGTTAATATCCTGAGGTTAGACAGAAGGCAGAGGTCACGCCGGTAATGCATTATTCGTAATGCAACGACCTATTATACGTCGAAGGTCGTAAAACACGAAGAGGTCTCGAGGCTCACAGACCGAAGTCCCTATACAAAGCGTAGGATCTTTGAAAATAGTCTATAATATTTTAAAATTTGTCCACTGTAATCTGAAATAATTATTATAAATCATCATTATTTCTAGAATGTTGCAACACGTTCCCATACTTCTTCAAAATACGTACAAAAGCTGGGCTGGGCAGTCACGCTTCAGAGCAACGTATGTTTATAAAGCGTTAAGTATTTAAAAAAAAAAAAAATGAAGTGTGATATTATTAAAATATAGTATATCATATTATTATGTATATATTAAATAATAAGGGAGATAAATAAGAGAAAAAAAAAATACAATTCGGAATTATGATAATATATTCCTAAGACGTTCGAACCATTATTTCAATATGGCGATATCTTACACTTGTTTAGTAGGTATCGTCAAATTTAAGAAGAGTATAGTCATTTAAACGTGTGTGTGCATACATGAATTGTCGTTTCTTTCATTCAGATCAGTTTTTCGAAATTATTTCGAATTAAAAAAAAAAAAATAAACCTAATTTTGTTCTCCGCGTTTAATTGGTATATATAAATATTATGTGATGCCTTTACAGCTTTTAAATAACATAACTTTGTAGACAGACACATCTAATTCTAATATGCACTTACATACATGATCATAAACACACATACATTCGCACTTATATACATAATCATGCCATTTATACACATATCCATACAACAAAATACATGCTTGCACATATCATTTGACGATACTCTACGAAACAAATACAAGGTATATCGATAGTTTTGCGGCCCTGAAAAGGGCCTTTTTTTTTTATTAACTTATACGATTAGAAAAATCGTCTCATCACGTAACTTAACTCTCAGAGTCCCGCATACCAAGTAGCAAATACACACTGCGCACATGGTGTACTATAGACGAACTTAGAGCGGACAGAGAGCCGTAGTACGTGGCGGTGGACGACGTCTCCATCGCGTATAAGAAATTAACCACCGAATCCGTAGAGGGTACGTCCTTGACGTTTCAGGGCGTAGACGACATCCATGGCGGTGACGGTTTTCCTCTTCGCATGCTCGGTGTATGTAACAGCGTCACGAATCACGTTCTCAAGGAACACCTTGAGTACACCGCGTGTCTCTTCGTAGATTAACCCGGAGATACGTTTCACACCGCCCCTGCGTGCGAGACGTCTGATAGCCGGTTTGGTGATACCCTGGATGTTATCACGAAGAACTTTTCTGTGCCGCTTCGCTCCACCTTTCCCCAAACCTTTACCACCTTTACCGCGACCGGTCATTTTCGCTTAGAGAAGAAAGACAACACACGAAATAATATATATAGAGACTTAACGTACGTTACGAACGCACGACGACAGATAGACCGCACTAACTTTTTTCCCGTTTATATAAAGTCACCCAGACGACTGAGACGGCTGAGGCGAGGGTGCGGGGAAGTATAAAATGGCGGGCAAATAAAAAGACGATGGCGGGGGGGGGGGGGGGGGGGGGGGGAATTGGATGTTTCGTGTTGCTGTAGATGGTACCCGGAAAAAAAAAAAATTTGTCGAAATATCGTTTAAAATTGGAAGAGGTAGTTTCTATATAATAATAAATAAATTTGTCAGTTCGATACGCGCGCCATCTATTGTAAGTTTATTAGTTAGCAATAAGTTGACTAAGTTTTAGCGCAATCTGATGAACGGTATGGTAGCGCATTATATACGAACAAACAAAAAAAAAATATTTATATATTAGAATATAGAAAGGTATCTAATTAGTTACTACGTATAAGGTAATACGATTTTGTCCTGCGCCAATGGCTAGACTCTCCATCCAATGAATCCTGAGGTCAATCCGCATACTATTAAAAAAAAAAAAAAAGAAATTAGTTAATCCCCCATTAATTTTAATACTCAAAGCCCGCCATGAAATAATGTCGCGGGGTGAACGAGGTGTATATAAAGTACAGATAATATTATTGTCGAAACATGTCGTTTTCTATTTTGTATCACTTCATTTAATATGATTATCCAAAGTAAGATATTATAATTTATATTATTATGAAGACGAAGATTTTTATTTATTAAAAAAAAAAAAAAAACTGTATCCTAACTAACAGAAGCGTTCTGCGCGTGAACATTGGTGGTGGTAGACTTCGCGGGCAGCGGCGGCGCAGGCATCGTCGGCGCCGATCGTCGATGATGGTGATGAATGATCATCCGTCGTGAGACAGGTAAGCTTTACCCTACTGTGTATCTTATGATGTTAAATAGTATACAGTTTGTCGTCTATTATACTAGATTAGTACATCTATCTATTAATTTATTTAAACGGTATCTAAATAAACATTTCGATTTGCTGAGCCCTTAATTCGATATTATGTTTTTGTTGTTATCTCATAATATTACCATACCATACTATCTATCTATATATCTATCTATCTATTACTTGCTCGTTTAACGTTCTCTTATATTCTAAAGAAACGCACAGTTTATTGTGTAGAAACATATGCGGCCCTGAAAAGGGCCTTTTATGAAAGTGAAAGAGAACATACGTTAAAACCAACACAATCATCATCATCTTGTCAACGTGTAGTTGTTGTTAATGAGGCATATTTAATATTGCCACTTTCACACTGCCAATCGATGATTGATGTTAAAAATTAAACGTAGTTCACAACACAATCGGTAGAGTAGAGTTTATTAAGCTCGTTCCCCGCGAATTCTGCGCGCCAACTGTATGTCTTTCGGCATAATGGTTACGCGTTTTGCATGAATCGCGCATAAGTTGGTATCTTCGAACAACCCGACTAGGTAAGCTTCGCTAGCCTCTTGAAGGGCCATCACGGCGGAGCTCTGGAAGCGGAGGTCGGTCTTGAAATCCTGAGCGATTTCACGCACCAAACGTTGGAACGGCAATTTGCGGATGAGGAGCTCGGTGCTCTTCTGGTAGCGACGAATCTCACGGAGAGCGACGGTACCGGGCCTGTAGCGATGTGGTTTCTTAACACCGCCGGTTGCTGGTGCGCTCTTACGGGCTGCTTTGGTGGCCAGTTGTTTACGCGGCGCTTTACCACCGGTGGATTTCCGAGCGGTCTGCTTAGTACGTGCCATTGTTACGTTACACTAACTCAACTAATACACAATATATTCACTATACGACTATACGTTCTCAACGCGCGGGATACTGAAATCGTCGTTTTTTTTTTTTTTTTTTTTTTTTGCGCCCGAAGCAATTGGAAAAGGGCTACCCCGAAGGGAGGCAGAAAATGCATTACGCATACCACGATGGCCGGTCCATCGTGGTTATGAGGGACTCACTACCTACAAGGGGGAACCTAAGTGATACCCTCTAAAAACTGCCTTTGGGGACTGGCAACCAGCTGTTGAAAGCTTCACATGCCGTATCGTAAAGCGACCCTCTTTTGGGAAAAGAGGGCGCAGGCGGCTATAAGCCGCTGAGGGAGTGCCTGGGAAGGCAAATTAATTATGAATAACTTAATTAGAGTTGGCCTGAGCCGCCAGGAGGCAGTTCAGGTCGTTTGAAAGTTTATTAGGCGGGTCCGAGAGGGAGTTCCTCGGCCTGCGGACGCTATAGCGGGAGGGGAGTGGGGCTGCATAATTAGCAGCCTCACGAATAAAATGATTGGAATGCGACTCTGAGGCTTTGAAGAAGTTCTCAGAGAGTTTTTTAAGGAATTGTTGAATTGTAGGGAGCTCTAGGTCCCGATGAAGGTCGGCATTGCGGACGTACCAAGGTGCGTTCGCAGCTCGACGACAGAAAAGGTTTTGAACTACTTGGAGTTCATTAATAATTTTAGGGTTAGAGTGGGCGAAAATGGGGCCCGCGTAGGACATGACTGGTCGTATACAGACCTTATAAAGGGTACGCTTGTTTCTGAGGGACATTTTACTGTGTCGGCCCAACATACTGTTGAGCCTATTCAGGTAAAAACGTGCGTGACGGGTTACTCTTTTGACGTGGGGCCTGAAAGTTAGCCCTGTGTCTAGAGTGACACCTAAATATTTGGCAGACGTATGCCAGGGGACAGGGGTCCCTAGCATACGTATTGGTGGAGTGTTTTTGAGACGGCGTCGTTTATAATCGAAGTGAACGGCGGAGCTCTTCTCCGGGTTCACATCGATGCGCCATTTTTTGAACCAAGCTCCTAGGTCATCAACTGACTTTTGGACCTTGTTCCGTATGAAAGGTAGCGAGATACCTTTGCAGTAGAGAGCAGTGTCGTCTGCGAAGAGGGAGAGCTGAACACCTTTCGGCGGAATGGGAATGTCGTTGGTGAACAGTATGTACAGCAGAGGAGCAAGAACTGAGCCCTGAGGGACACCAGCTTTGATGGGGCGCTGTGAAGATAGCGTGCCTTCGTGTCTAAAACGAAAGGTACGATGATTAAGATAAGAGGCCACGAGACGTACTAGACGATCGGGGAGACCTATTTTGTATAGTTTGTAGATAAGGCCTGTATGCCAGACTCTATCGAAGGCTTTGGCGATGTCGAAAAAGACCGCGATAGTCTTATGACGACGGGGATAAAAACCGCTGAGGATATATTCCACAATACGGTGAACTTGTTGGGGGCAGGAGTGTTTCGCTCGGAAACCGAATTGATGGGGAATGATAAGAGGGTCACCGTCTGTGGGAAACAGATGGCGCCTCATGCGATTTTGAATGACTCTTTCAAAGAGCTTGCCCATGGCCTTGAGGAGGCTAATGGGACGATGACTGGAGGGGAGATTAAGAGGCTTGCCTGGCTTGGGAATACCAATCACAGTTGCCTCTTTCCACGTAGTGGGAAAGTAACTAAGGTTGAAGCAGGCATTGAAGATAATAGATAAAAGGGTTAGCACCTGCTCAGGAAAGTTTTTTAGGGCTTGGTTGGAGATGCCATCCGCGCCCGGAGCCTTTTTAGGCTTAAGTCCTTTGATGAGGGATGAAAGCTCATCATTGGACACAGAGATAGGTTCGGAGGCTGTAGGGGGCGAGTTCCGGCGGCGGACCTCATCCTCCACTGCCTGGACGTGTGAGGGGTCTACGGGTTGAGAGCTAGGAGAGCATTGAGCGGCAATGCTGTCTGCAAAGCACTCAGCCTTTTCCTCGTCCTCGAAGGCTACCGTACCGTCGGGACGGGAGAGAGGGGGAGTGTGGAAGATAGCGTCTATGCGGAGGGCTCTTGCCATCTGATAGTACGCTGTATGAGAGGGAGAGATATTCTCCATGAGCTTACTCTTTTTGAGGTCTCGAAATTCAGAGAGGCGGAAACGGAGTTCTCGTTGAAGACGATTGGCCGTGCGCCTATATTCGGGCGTGGGATATTTTGCTGCTCTCCGGAAAGCAGCTTTTTTGGCTTTTAATAGGTTGCTAATATGCAGGGGAAGCCCACTATTATTAGCAACCGGGACGACCCTTTCATTCTCCTTAAGGGAGGTTTTAATAAGGGTGGAGAGTGAATCGACCGCGGTGTCGATTTTTTCAGGACTGTCTAAGTCCGAAGATAGGGAGATGGGGGAGTCCTGTGAGTCCAGAGCTTTCGCTAGGGACTCCTTGAAGCCCTTCCAATTTGTGAAGGTTTTAGTAGAGGGTGTTGGGAGTGGTGGCTGATGGCCAAGAATGAGAGAGACCGGTCGGTGGTCGGATCCTAGATCGTCTAGTGTCTCGATTGCCCTAAGGTTGAGAGAAACTCCTTTGAGTAACGCAAAATCTAGTACATCGGGGGCATAGTCGGTGTTATCGGGAAAGTGAGTAACACCGAGAGGACTGTGGACGGTAATATCAAGAGACTGCGTGATATCGAGCAGTAACTTGCCACTACGGGTGGTAGTACGGCATGTCCATTCAGTATGCTTGGAGTTAAAATCTCCAAACATAATGACTGAATTGCCTAGAGATAAAATAGCCTCAAAATCTTTTTTGAGGGGAAGGGTTTTAGAAGGGATGTAACAGGAGGCTATGAAGATGGACTGATGTCCAGTCATAGCTAGCCTGCATACCGTGGCTTCCATGTTGGAAAGTTGCGGAGTAGAAATGGGAGAACAGTGAAGTGTCTTCTTGTAATAAATGGCCGTACCGCCGCCTCGGCGGTCGGGTCTATCATTACGAAGAAGAGAGAAGTTTTTGATGGAAAGGCCTTTAGTGTCCTTAGTATTGAGATTAGTTTCCTGTAGGAGGAGGAAATCGGTTTCACGATTTTGAAGAAAGAGCTTAAGCTCTGGGAGGTTATTTCGCAAACCGCGAATGTTAAAGGATACAAGCGATAAACCCTTAGGTTTGATACGACCGTGGGATTTTGGTAGAGCAAACTGCTCTGTCATTGTGAGTTAAGTTAATTAAGTTAACTTAACTTACAATGAGCACAAAAGATTATGATGCTCTGCAAGAGCGAGGAGACGATCCTGAGGGGACCTCGCAGCGCGCAATTTGCGTGCTAACACAGCGATTTCCTCAACGTTGATGTTCCTAATTGCGGAATACACCGTTTTTAGGTCATCAGCCATTGAGGGCTGTGATTGTTGTGGTTGAGGGGCGGAGGATGTCCGCGGTGGTACTGCCTTTTTGGGGCCCCAGGGAAAAACTGGGGGCTGCATAGGCTGAGAGAAGCCCGGAGGGGGCCGAATAGTGCCCTGAGGGGGCCTAGGAGGACCCTGAGAGGGTCGAGAGAAGCCCTGGGTGGGCTGAGAAAGGCCCTGACGGGGCATCCGTTGGTAAAGAGCCGGGAATGAGCGGTCATTGACCGGCGGTGGAGCTTGCCTACTGGGGCGAGGATGAGGTGCGCAAGGGCAGCCTCTGTAGTTAGCCGGGTGGCCCGTTTGTTTACACAGGACACACGCGGGTGGGGATTCGGCGTCTTTGGGCCGAGGACACTCTTTAGTGTTGTGGGGTTCAAGGCACTTAACGCACCTGGGTGGGGCGGAGCAGTTGGCCGCCGCATGACCATACAGCTGGCAGCGGTGGCACTGCGCCGGGAACCCGCGCCTATGTGGAGGCTCAACCCTCACTCTCGACAGGCCGCACACTGTGCGTACCTGCCGGAAGATGGCTTTCGCCTCCGGCACGTTGGTTAAAATTACTAGGGCAAGAGAGAACCTCTGGCCTGTTCTACTGTGCATTTTGTGCACGGCTTCTACGGGGAAACCTTGGGACTTAAGGTCCTCAAGGATTTCTTCGTTTGAAAATTCGAAGGGGACGCCGCGGATGACGGCCCTGACTTTGCGCTCTTCCGGAAGAGCGTATGTATGATAAGAAACTCGTTCGGCTGTGAATAGCCTGGTGAGTCGCCGGAAGTCGTCGATTGATTGGGGGATGATCTTAATAGCCTCCCCGAGGTTGATGGCGTGGTCATATTTTATGCCTGCGTTGTAGCAGGTTTTGGAGAGTTCTGTGAATTTAGCCTTGTCTCTTAGGAAGACAGGGGGCGGGACTTGCTTCTTGGCAAGGACTGGAGCACAGCGAGAGGCTGGCTTGGTCGGAGCGGGAATGTCTAGTGACATAAGTGGGGCTGAGGCAGCGGCGGGGGCTGCGGGGGCAGAGGCGGCAGCGGGAGCTGCGGAGGTTGAAGGAGCGGCAGGGGCCGCTGAGACAGGGAGGGTGCGGTTTTTAGCGGCGCGTTTACCGTTGCGCTTGGAGTTCACCGTGGTGAACGAAGAATCCCCGGTTCCGTCGGAGTCACAGGACTCCGATGAGCCGGTGCCAGAATTGGTGGCGGGCCTCTTCCGGGAGGCCGATGCAGAGGACTCGGAGCATGCGTACTCCATTTCTAATGGGGCGAAAGAGTTCTTTGTCTCTAGGTAGGCCGCAAGTACGGGCGGCGGTTGGAGTGCCTGACGGGCAGGGGGAGTAACATGGGCGGCGATGGCGGCAAGGGCCGTCTCATCGAGGTTTAGGCCCAGACCAAGAGTTTGGTTTAGGGCGGCAACGAGGGACTTAATTTGGGTAATTGTGGACATGTTGAGGGCAGTAGTTTTACGAAACGTATTTGATACGGAAGGGGCTAGTGGGTGCTGTTCTGAAAAGAACAGAGACGTTATGTACCTAAACAGTAAGGGCGGGATCACCGTTCTGAGAAGAACGGGACGTTCTTAATTCTAGGAGTAAGTGCCCCTGCTCTCAAAAGAGCAGGGCCTTGCTCTGAAAAGAGCAAGTAACTCCCTAGAAACAGTATATACACGTACACGTTATACAAATAAATAACGAAAACAAAATTAGAAATAGTTAACAAAAGAATTAACAATAAAAATAACAATAACAAGCAAGACCAACAGTCAAACCGCCCCGCCCGGAGACAGGGAGGTAATAACTGGAGTTAGCGTAAAATGACTCACCAAGGCGTCGACGCTGTAAGCGCGAGCAGGACAGCGGAGGCGCGAGAGCGAGAGAGCACTACCGTACGGGGACGGATGCGCGGACTACCTGGACACGACCGCTCGAGAGCGGTGCCACAGGCGGAATCGAAATCGTCGCGAGTGGCGACGCTTTTATATGGTCGACAAATGTGCGGTTACAGGCGAGACTTCTCTACCCATCTCTTTTCCTTCCCCCCCCCCCCCTCTCCGTTTTTACTTCATCGTGAATATCGGGTAGACCAAGCAATCGTATTAAAAAACTTTTAAATAATAATAATATACAATGGATTCGGTTGTCTGCGCTCAAGCCGCGCGGACGTATTCTTCGGTCGAGCCCATGCGCTCCCGAATTACTAAGTTGCAATTGTGCGAAAAAAAAGACAATAAAAGGATTAAGTGCTCGAAGTGCTTCAGTGGTGTTGTGCGTCATTGCCGCCGTCAGGTTGCATCGGCCCGCCGGCCCATTGTTCTATTGTGTTAGGGATTAGTGTAGTGCCCCACGCTCTGCCAATTTCCAGTAAAAACTGTAAGTAGTTTATTACACACCGCCGTGCCGCCTCAGAGGCGGCTATTATATTGTTATTGTATTAATCTCTGTGTTCGCTTGTCGCATTAGGCGACAGCTAGGTACACACCCTAAAGTACCAACGCGTTAGGTATATAGGTGTTCGTTTAAGCACACACCTCCCCCGCCGTGAGGTGGGGGAGCTTGGTACACAAGTGTTTTCTTAAAAACAAGACAAGATGGCGGCTATAACCATAGCCGAACTCGCCGACTTTTTCAGTCGTGCGTGCCCCGACGTTTGGGCGACCTTTCTAGCGCAACGCCAAACGCCCGCTGCTGAACGTCCGACCGTGTTGGTAGACGACCCTATGTCGCCCAGCACCGGACCCGCGACCCCCGCGTCCGTAGAAACGCTTTATGACGTAGGATCCCCCGCGCCTTCTGCGCTCTCCACTCGGGGGCCGTCCCCGGCGTTCTCGGACGCCGAGACGGGCTCCGAAATGGAGTTCGACGTCGCGAAACCCGCCATGCCCGATGACGAAGGCTTCACCGTAGTCTCGGGCAAAAAACGTAAACGTCCCGCCGCGAAAAAGGGCGCCGAGCCTCACTCGGCCCCTTCGTCCCCGTCGTCGTCACCTAACGCCACTCCGGCTAAAAAGACCGCGCCTTCAGCGCGCCCTAAAATCGCCAAAATCGCGAACTCTGAACCCGCCGCGGTGCGCAAGGAAAAACCGCCGCCCCCGATCATCCTTCAGGATAAATCCCGATGGAGCAACCTTTCGCATTGGATTGACTCCAAAAAAATCTTCTGCCCAAAGGTCCACAATGGTGGCCAGGGCATACGCATCCACGTCTCAACGACGGATGACTTCCGCGCTTTAACTGCGCATCTTAAAGTTCAGAAACTGAGCTTCCATACTTACGCCCTTGCGGAAGAACGCAACCTCCGCGTAGTCGTTCGCGGGCTCCCTAAGGAGCTCGAAACCGAGCACATTTTAAGCGATCTTAAATCGCAGAATCTCCCGGTTAGGGAAGTGCACAGAATGCACCACCCCACCGACAAAAAAAGATACCTAGACCTTTGTCTAGTTATCTTAGACCTGTCCCCGGAAGGGAAAGAAATTTACAATATTCGCCGAATCTGTAATCTCACTGGGATTACGGTAGAGGCCCCCCGTAATAGGGGCATCGTTGGTCAATGCCACCGATGCCAACTGTATGGCCACTCGGCCAAAAATTGCTATGCGAAACCTAGATGCGTTAAGTGTCTAGGTGACCACGGCACACCCGAGTGCACCCGAACGCCCGAGTCGGAAGGCCCTCCGAGCTGCGTTCTGTGCGGCGAAGCGGGACACCCAGCGAACTATCGCGGGTGTACCAAAGCGCCGCGTAGAAAGTGGCGCGGAGGCGCAAACCGGCGCGGACGAGCGGCTAGCGCTAGTAGGTCCCGTCCTAGGCAACATGCCCCATCATTAGCACCGATCTCGGTGTCTCAACCCGCGCCCCCTCAGCCTCACACCAAACCCGCCCCCGCTAAAGGGTCTTCCGGGCAAGGTGTAAGCTCATCGGTGCCTTCAGCACCCGCGTCGAACGCATGGGTTAAGCCCCCGGCGATTGTTAGCGCGGCCGCCTCACGGCCAGCGTCCTCTCTCCAGGCTCAAAAGCCCAAACTTGCCCCTCAGGCATCTTCTACCTTCGCTGCTGACTTCTCGTTAGTCTGCAGCTTCTTCAACAATATTAATGTTGCCGAAGTGTCTTCCCTGGCCCGTAAACTACGCGAGGCCAAATCCGCTCAAGATAAGCTCAATGCCACCATTGAGCATATCAATCTCATCGACGCGATCGGTTCATTCCAATGCGCCTAAATAATAATCTCTCTAAAACAAAATGGCAGTACAACATACAGGCAGAACCAAACCTAGCTCACTGACTGTCGCGTTCTTTAACGCAAACGGCATCAGAGATCAAAAGGAAGAAATCGTGTACTTTTTACGCGATCATGATGTCGACATCATGCTAGTGCAGGAGACCTTCTTGAAACCTAGCGTGCGCGATCCCAAAATAGCTAATTATACCTTAGTAAGAAATGATAGGCTGACCGGACCTAAAGGCGGCACCTTGATCTACTACAAAAGGTCCTTGCACTGTATACCGTTAG